TTTTTTTTTTTTTTTTTTTTTTTTTTTGGGAACAAATTAATCTCAGTTGTAACAAAGAAATTTCATTTCATTTCATTTTCTTTTTTACGTGCGTCATGATAATTGAGATTTATTTTTTCTGGTTTAGTAAAGAGTTTACTTTTGTTAAATTAACCGCCCACATATGGCCAACGGCGTGAAGACTAAGGCTAATGAAATTCGACAGGTCAGTATCCTCAATCTTATTACACCAGCGACACATCGGAATTAAATAATAAATTTCCTTGCTAAAGCTTTGAAATGGATGGATCGAAAGTGGAAATATTTGAAAATTTTTTGAACTTGGCTGCCCTACCCTAGTCGCTTAACCTTGCGCCATCTGATTACTATCTTTTCTCGATGCCTGAAAGATGCCTCGACGGGGAAGAAATTCTCCAATGACAAACCGAATTCGAGGGTTTGTCGAAGAATTTTTTTTACCAAATGCAAAACCCAGTTGAATTCTACGCTAATCAACAAGATACTAAGCTGATAAACGGCAACAGAGTAAGTGCAAACAACGACGAACCCATCATGGATTGTTGTTTGTTTCATTGAACAAATAAAGTTGTGTTTTTTTGTTTTTTTTTTCGCCGAAAATGAAACTATTTACGACTCGACCGAATACATTATCTGTCGCTGGCAATTAATAATAAGTGTGATTGTTACGCATGAACGAGAAGATAATAGCAAGAGTAATACGAAAGCAGAGTGTGAATTCATCGCATCGTCTTGGCAGGATTGCCTGTGGCTGATATAATCTGTTGGAGATCGGTTTCTGGCGTCCTCAGAATCCGGCTCGAGCACGTCCCTGAAATGTTAATACTGTTAAGGGAGTTTCGACGTCGATGTCCCCAACTGTACATGCCAGTCCCCTACATATGGCTGTCCTCATATGTACATATATAGGAAATGTTTCCAGAAATACGTATGTACGTGGGTGTACACACATATACATATATATATATATAGTGAGAGAGAGAGAGAGCACCAGTCATTGAAATCTAAGCCAGACACGATAGAGTATACGAGTACACGACAGAATAACGTGTTACTTCAATGGACGTTTCGTGTATTCTTCCCTTGTCGGAATAATTCAAGCAACTCCCGAGGATATCGTCAATTTGTAAACGTAGCTTTTTTCCCCCAAAGCTTTTTCGTCATGGACGAACACTGCCTGCCTTGTACGATTTATTTCGAAAGCAGACGAGAAACACACAAGGAGAGGAATGTAGGGATTAGTTTGAAGAACTTTTCAATACGAAAGAAACAGTTTGACACGTTTGTCGGTGTAGAAATAAATTGATATTAATATCGACGACAGGACAAGAAACTTAGTAGCAGGTTCAATATTGGTGTGGCTGGTGGCGAGTAAACTTCCATGTTGATCCGGCGTACATAGAAACCTTCGAGGCTCGCCTATTTATCCACTTTCGAACGATCAGTCAGTGGAAAGGAAATTACATAAACCTCTGCCCGTGACAGAGATCGAGCAACAATAAACTGGTTTGCTTCACTATCCGTTAGCGAGTACACCGTGCACTGGCTACGCTTGAATATCAAGACGAGGAGAAATAACGTTCGCGATAACCTTCATCAGGGGGTGGTTCTCCCTCTCGAGTTCGAGTTCTTTGTGCCAATTTACGGCTAACCGTCGTTCGCCTCAAAGGCAGAGATTGAACGTTCCTCGAGAGAGAGAGAGATACCGAGGCTCGTGGATTCAGAGACACACAATTAAATCTCAGAGTTGTAGTATTTCTTCGTTATTTACCGTGATGGTAGCCACGTTGCGATGATCCTCAAAGAGGCAATTAAAATGGATGAGGACGAGTCGGATTGGCGGGAGTTAAGTAAAATCAACGAAAACAAGTGAAACATCGCTACTGAATCTTCTCGTTAAGGGACGTGTCGTCGGTAATCCGTGTAGAAATCGCTCTGCGTGCTGAAGGCTCAAAGGCGCGAGAATCCCTGTAAAACTAGTGCCAGCGGCTCGTTACAAAAATCCCATTCGCGAGTTTTAACATGCATTGCGTTCACGGTGTGCCGCGAACGCGCTCCGTTTGACCGACGAGGAGGAGCCGCTCTCTGGCCTATTAATATTTAGATTTTTAGACGTTCATTTCGAATTTCATCAGTCATGCATGCACGCGTACAGTTTTCGACGCTGCGCTGAAACGAAACTGGACCGATTTGCAAGGGAAGTTTCGTTCATATGCATGCGATAACGCTGGCCGGGTTCGGAAAGTTCGGTTCTCGCGGATGCTGCGGCGTACGGCCACAGTTTGAAACGCTTCGAAATTAAATCGTTCAATTGGGAAGTCGAGCAAATTCGGATTACGATTGAAAATTTCCAAAAAATTTAACTTGTCGCGAATCGCTTTTCTTTAAACCTTTACACTCCTCCCAGGCACGGGCAATATTTGATGATGCAGCAGCAGGAGAGATAAAATAAATTCTATTTAATTACAAGTTCTATACATTGCATAATCAGTCAGTGTTCGGCCGTTTCTCTGATTGAATCAATCAAAAATAAAACAAAAATAATTTAGAATAAATAAAAATAATTTAGATAGTGACTGTCTTGAGACATCAAGCATTGATTCCGACCAGAGCGACATTACTCTGCCAAAAAGATAAAAAAAGGAAGATAAAAATAATATTAAAATTGTCTGGCAACAAATCCTTGAGGAAGGCAGCATTCCTGAATGGTTTAATCTTTCAATTGGCTCGAAAATATCCTGGCCCACGGATAAATAGTTCACGTGAACCCATTGAATATATAATGCTTTTGTTTATTTTATACAAATGAGTTGTTGCAAGATCGTACATCCAGCCAGTTGCTTTCAAATTTTAAATTAATAACACGTGATTCAACATTTCCCCCA